AATTTAAGGTTTCAAATTTTGATTATGAATTAAGAATGAATAATTTAAGGAAACTATAATGATTTTTTTTTAAATATAATAACATTTAATTTACTTGTGAAAATGGAAGGAGGATTTTGAAATTAATATTGTAATGGGGACAATAAATCATTTACAATTAATTTGTTGTTCTAGCTAGTAGAAAATTATTTTTTGGTATTAATTAGTAAACAGATGGCCTTAATTTAGATTAACCTCACGTTGGAAAAGTATATGGTTAAAATATTAAAAAAGTCTTAAACTATTTTATTTTTCTTACATAAATTTTTTTATTTTTATTATACCAAAAGAAGCTATTATCCTTTAATTCATTTTCGAATAAATTTTTATTTCAAAAAAAAGATTGATTTATGTTTAGGATATATTTAAATATAAATTAAAAATTAAAAATTTATTTATACTATTTAAAATTAACTTTTGCGTCATCTATTTATATTAGTATCATAGGAGACAAATTAATTAATGACTTAAACATAGACATTTAGTGAATTTTAATCTAGGAAAGAAATATTTGCAATTTATTAATTTAAATTATAATTTTAAATTTTTACTTTTGAAATGTGAATGAATTAGAAGATATATGACAATTTTTTAAATCTATCTACATGTTAAAAATATAAACTATTTACATAAAATTATTTTTTTATCAAAAATTTTGATTTTTATATATTTATGTAAGATATAAGATAAAATTAAACATTTCAATTAAAATCTTGGAAAATTTTTTCAATCAAAATATTTTTGTCAATTAAAGCATGTCAAGGTTTATAAAAACTACTAGTACTTATTGATCATAACTATTTACAGAAAGTTCTGATCTTTTAAAATTATGTTACAATACAACTTCAAAATAAAAACATACATTTCTAGTCTCGAAGTTTATAAAAAGTTGAAAGAACATATAAAATCAAAGCGGCCTTGACCTTGACATACGAACAAGAATGGAAGAAAAATTCAAGGGACTGCAACCGCAATGCCTGTCAAGCGATGAGTCCGGCCTGGACAGATTAGGTAACCTTGATGATCGAAAAGAGAACGATGATGAAGATGAAGAGCTCGACAAGCGTGGCGACGCCATAAATTCACCATCATCAGAGCTGCACATCTCAAAATTCGAGTACTTATCTGACTCAGTTATCACATCCAAATTATCTCCTTTGGGCCCTGCTTGATCGAGCTTCTTGTTTCCATGGTTTTTCTTGCCTGGCTTCCAAAACTTGAACCTTAGTTTCATCAAAGGCTTAGGCTCTTCGATGTTAATACATGGTTTAGGTAATCCAAGGCTAAGCACTGCCGGTGGGGGACTAAGTGGTGGAAGAACATCTTCCTTGTGAGGTTCCTTTGGTGTCCCTGGCTGCATTTCCCAATTAAAGGGTATCCCTTCAGAGCTCCGATAGTAATATCTCCTGGAAGAACAACCAAAAGAAGAATTTCTTGAAACGATTCTATTGAAGAACAATTCATCACCTTGAATCACCGATACCCTTTTTTCCACACCTCTCCGACAATTGTTATCCATGTTTTCTTCACACCTTTGTGATTGTTTTCAGAAGTAATAGCTATTTGAAACAATACAAGATTGTTGAGTGCATGTATATATATAGATAGAGAGAGAGAAAGATTAAGAAATTAAAATTTATAGTCTAAATTATTAGTTCATATAATTATTTTAAAAAAATAATATTCAATATTTTTAAAATTTAAATTTTAATATTTATAATTTTTTTTATTGTCAACTTACAATTTTTTTTAAATAAAATGAAAAGTTAAGGAAATAAGGTCTTAATTATCCGGTGTTTTCGACAACGATAGAGTACAGGCACATGCTCCAATTGTCTTGACAGTTGACTGGCAACTGGTTTTTTTATTAAACTTAGATAAATTTTGTCTAATCTTTTATTAATCAAAGGTGTTAGTCCTTTTCTGTTTGCTTATCGTTTTAGTGACTTGAATACTTATTATATGGACAAGAAAAAGAAGATTAAAAAAGAACGAAAATTTTCTTTCTTCTTAAGATTACGTTAAATTTTTTGGGTGCGTTGGACGGTTTCTATAGCATGTGCGGTTACCAAATCCTTAAGACATGGCTCATCTTTTATTTCTATTTACCCCTGCATTGTTCTCTCCAGGCAAATGATGAATGGTGAATTACTAAATTATTGGTCATTTGACATTTGTTGCCACCAAAAAAAGGCAAAGGGTGAGTTTTATATAGACATGCCTACCCACCGGGTTATCTTTTGGATATAGGAGTTTGATTCTCGAATCAAATTTTATATAAAAATTTATGAATTCGGATTTAATTTAAAATATGTTTTAAAAAATTAATATTTTAATATATAATTAAATTTCAAACTTCTTAAATTTAACTAATCAAATCTTGAGTAAAACTTCTAAAAGTTGACCAACCTTAATTTAATTCGACCCATAAACATTTTGAAATTCAACCTCCAAGAAGGTGCTAAGATAGCATGAATTTCATTTTTTCCCTTCCTCGTCTCAAAGCCCAATGCCTAACTTTTTCAATGCAAATTGCCGGAACGGGGCCTTCCTCATGGCTAAGGAACCAACCTCTTTTTTGTAAGAACTTTTAGATTGATTCATTGTACATGTCTAAGAATTTATGCATTTAGTTGACTTTTGAAGATTTTTTCTTTTGCCATACACGTGAAAGTTCACTGACAAATGAGGTTTAGTTATGATAATGGAAAGATAGAGAAGGTAGTTAACCAAATAATTGAAATCTAAAGTCATTCATGTTAGGGCAAACATTTAAAATAAAAATACCCCTCTTATTCATTGCTCTTTAACATATGTATATTTTTTCTTTCAAGTTTTATTTTTTTTTCAATTTAATTTTTATATGTGCATGAAATACCGACCTGGACAGAATTCACAAAGATTTTATTTAGTTTAGGTTGAATTTGAAATTAAATCAAAATTTTTTATTTTCGACTCTTAAAAATATTCAGTGGCCAAAGAAACTATTGGAAAGCTTAGAATATCAATTGAAACACGAATAAAAAGCTATAGGCCATTTCTGAAATTTAGCAAAAGTGAAGTTCAAAGTTTGCCTCAAATAGACTTTGCAATTTTTTTTCTGCCTGAATAAATACTTTAAGAACAATTTGAACAGAATATATATCGTTGATTCCAAATTGTTCAACTAAATATCCGAATAGAAAACACCAATTCTTTGTATCAATGGCATGACAAATAAAAAGCTATTGATTTTTGCTCATTGGCATGATTTTCTGCAATATTTTCAGTAATCCATGAACTATTTGAAAGCCAATTTGTATCAAATTTAAGATAAAAGGACATAAGTGAAGGAAAAGAAAGTGTTCATTTGGAAATTTAGGATGAAAATCTAATCATTCATTTATTTTCTATGGTATTGGTCTATAGGTTGCTTGCTTTAACTACACTGACTTAAAATTCAAGCTTTTGCTGCTAGTGCTTCTTGGTACATGTTAAGAATTTAACCCCTTACTTGCCCTTCTCTTCAAGCTTCATGCATAACGACATGGGCTACTTGAGATTTTATTTGTCAAAAACACACGATACCAATTGGTGCAGCACATGCAAACTTCCATGGAAAAGGAGAAACCAACAATTCATTTAGGTTGCATTTGGTGACTTTCCATGTCATGATTTCCAGATTGTTAGGAATCAAAGATAATATGACAACGTTTGATACATATGAGAAAGTGTTGATTAAATTCATAAAATGTGTTGTTTTATTTTTTCACCCTATGGGAAAGTAACTTTTCCACACCTCCACGTTAATACACTTTGTGAGGAAGTGATATTCACGAAAAAGTTAAATTCCCATGAATGTAATATGTCAGAATTTGCTTTCCATTAATTAAAATCCAAAAAATGTGAGCACATTTTATAGTAGATGTATTATTCATAATTTTATCTCACAAAAAATTTATCACAAATATTGATTCAAGCCTCTATATATATATATTATAATGAATCCTCAAATTATTTTGATGTAAGATTGAAACATTATAAACTCCTTCATTAAAATTTAATGTCCAAGTTAAGCCAAACACAAAACATATATAACCACACATGGAATATACTAAACCAAAATCATACAATACACTAAAATTTTAAAGATGACTTTTATCATATAATACTTAACTCCCGTTTATGAGAATTCAAAAAGGTAAGTGCATAGTGTAACACTTAGCTCCAACATTTTTTATCGGTGATTATTCTAATATTGGTTATAAAACCTCACGCTAGATTTACAAGATATTATTTTCTTTAATCTAAAAATCTTTTGATTTTATCCCATAAAAAATATTTCACAAATGACTTCAAAATTTTACATATATATATAGATATATATATCATTTATATATAAAAATATAAACTTCAAAAGTGTTAATAGTGATCAACCCAAATATCTATATAAATTTTTAAATTAACAAATTTATTCATAAATATATATAATTTTTATTAATTTATTTAAATTTAATTTAAATCCACTAAAATTTAAAATAAAGTTTATGTAAAATTAAACTACTTAAAATTTTAATTCTAAAAGTATTAAAAATGATTGTTTAAAATATCATTAGTAAATGTTTTTATAAAATTTAATTCAAATGAATTTTTTTAAATTATTAGACTTTTTTTTTATAATTAGATTAAAAAAATATTAAAAGTGATTAATTAAAATATTATTATTAACTTTTTTATAAATTTTAATTTAAATAACTTTTTTCTATTATTAAACTCTTTTATATATATATATATATATATATATATATATATATATATATATGACAATTACATTCCTGGTTGACCTCACAGCTAAGCCTAAAGCTCTAAAACTTACTTTCAAAGACAACTAAAGCATTGCACCTATTGCTCCGCGTTGCTAGCCTGGAGCTCTGCAACTTGATACTGTTGCGTACAATTTTTTTATTTTTCTTACTAGTCTCGAGAAAGACGACTCCAATAATTGGATTCAAGTAAAAATGCTTTGTTTATGTCGACGTTAAAAATGTCTGTCAGAAACATCAAATGCAAAATGTTAATTTTTCTTCGACTTTTTATTCAACGGCCGACTTTATTACATAATAGCAAAAATTCTAATGCTCGACAAGGTAATGAATTTAGAAATATCTGAGTTGAGGACAAGGATTTCAGTTTTCCAGGAGACTGCTACTTTGGATTTTTGATGATTTGGTTTCAAGTTTCAACTATCTTTAACTGTTCAGTTGCTTGGTCGTGCATGAATGCACTTGCGAACATGTGTCAATAGACAAGACAATAGGCATATTGTTCTTTTAATTAAACTAGAACTAGGATGATAAAATAGATAAAGACATTCACTAAGCAACTGCAAGCATGCAAATACAGCAGACGATACCTATGTCACTAATTACATTAACACTACAGCTTTAGAAGAAAGCCTTAATGTAGTTACCACAAATTCGAATAGACCAGACGGAACTCGGTAGTTTACAAGCTTGCTTCCTGCCACACAGCTTTGCAAAGAACCAACTTCAGTTGATCCTAATCCGAAATTTCAGACGTGGCTTTTAGGCTTCCCAAGTTATACCCCCTGAAAATTACGAGAAAGTCAGCGTGAATAAAACCACAAAACAGTATGAAAGAAACCTAACAATTGAGAACATAAAGTCTCTAATTAACATGAGTGGATTTCCCCTAAACCATATCTCCTTCCCAAGATAATAATTTGAAATATAGAATTGATTTCAGCCATAGGCAGTGGAAACAGTAAACGGATTGCAAAATGACCAGTGAAGGTGGAACAAAGATATGCAGAAAATGAACCCAAAATTTAACTCGATTGGTTCATACAATCAACTTTAAGAGATGACATCCAACAAGTCTGGAATTTAAATCTCAATACCAGCAACTCCTTCCTCTATTCCCAGGCTACGGCCTCTTTTGTACCAAAAAAAAGAAAGATAAAACAGAAGATAACATAAGCCTAGCTATGTTAATCCCATCTACATCTCATGTAATTCCAAGTAGCCAATCCCTGACAGGAAGAAATCAAACACCTTTGATACCATTTCACGCTTGCCCAGTATATACACCAGAGAAATCTTGCTTCGTGTTACTCCTATGGATGCAGGGTTCCTCAAATAAACTATTTTTGAAATAAAAGTGGCATAAAGGGTAGTAGCATCTAGGCTCAGGAAGCTTTAATGGGAGTTGTATCACATCAAGTTGCCAGCAGACAAGGTTAATTGGAATTTAATTGCGAGCACATGATGATTATAATGGTGTAAATGATAAGATCATGCATGCTATTGCCAGGGATGTCTTCTATCTTTTGTAAGAGCAGGCAGGATGGACATGTATTGAATAACCCTTTAGGAAAAGAAAATAAGGGCAAATGGAAGCTCTTCCAGATAGTATCACCACAGGCTCTTGGTCACGGCTGCTATTTGACATGGAAGCTTCTTTGATCTCCAAAATACACAACCCTTTTAATGATATTTAATGTTTATACCAAGATTGATAAACCCTTAAAAATAAGGCCAAACAGACCTGTACATTTGCACCTATGAGGACTAGAATCCTACATCTATATGGTAGAGATGCACAAAAACCTGCCTTTTTTTTTTGTTGCAAGTTTAAGTTTTTGTTTCGTATTTTCTTGAAAACAGTCAGTGTTTATTGACCCAGAAAAAGTTTTACTGAATTTTAGGTCCTTACTCTTCGAAGCTTTAGCATGAAAACAAGAAGAGGGGTGCCTAAAAGGAAGGACTTTCTTTTATACTTCAGATCCAAAAAAAAATTTATTACCATTTTAACTTTTAATACGGATCTGAATTTTCTAAATTAGCCAGCATAGTTTTTAGTGATGCAGACCAAACTACGCACAATATTCCTAGAAAGAAGTCCAAAGAAAAATCACCTAAATCAATCTAAGACCATTTATAAGCTACTTCTAAACAAACAGCATTCAAGGAAGCCTCAACAAGATATACCTAATAGAGTGCCTCAGTAACATCAAGATGTCAATCTAGCAATTTGATGGAAAAAAAAGTTTAAAAAAATGAAATTGGACAAATTCTCAAGAATTGAAAAATCAAGTTATACCTCAGCTGGTGATGAAATAATAGATTCCCTGGTCAAATTTCAAACATTCACTCTTAGTTCCTCACATGATTATGTAAACAATTAAAAAACATATAGGATTCCACAGGACAACAAGAAGTTGGAACTACCTTGGTCTCTCTGCCTTAGCAAGATGTTTGGACATAATGGATGCCTGCAATAAGGTCCATTGTCATGGTTATATCAATATTTTCAAATAATAACAACGACAAAAAAAAATGGACTTGCAAGAAAATATTACTATCTGCTGGATCTAGTTATATGTGTGCAAAAGTTACATGAAAAAGTTGGTATATGGAAAGAAAATATTAAGCTCAATCCATTAAAAGTAATAAAAAAATGGTTAGCTGGATTCCTAAAATCTCTTGTAACATAAAAAACTCCACTAGTAAGACTATATATTCAAAATGCTTGATTGTCAAACAGAAGTCCTGTTTAGTCATAAAACATTACGACCAAAATGCAGACTAAAACAATTATTGGCACAGTTATAAGACCAACAGGATCTCAAATGATGTTTGCATACATCAAAAGTTGAAGTCCTTAGCTATATGCAATGTAAGGGGAGAAAAAATGCTGAACTGAGATCCTTGCAAAATCTATCATAAGTTAAATTAAATAGGTAGGACTATATTGCAGAATGCTTGATTGTCCGGCTAGCAAAACAGGATCAAGTTATGTATTTAACACTCAAATTAACTCATTAAAGTACTACATCTATAAAGTACGCTACCTGCTCCTGGATTATGCTCCTCGCTTCAACAAGTTGAGCTTCAAGCTCAAGCTCCCTCTCTGTTGCTTCAGAAGTGACTTCTGCACCTTTATGTGCATCTTGTAATTGAACCATACGCTCCTTGAAACAAAGAAATGGGAAAAAAAAAAAGTGTCAACATTTTACCATCTTAGTATATAATTGTTATAATAATTACATACTTAAATTTAAGAGAGAGAGATTACTTTTATAGAAGCCATCTTAGTGCGAAGACTTTCTTCTATTTGATCCCTAGCCATGTGAAAAGGAAGATCAAAGACATCCTATAAAAAATAACCCAGAAGCTTAGAAGCAGCACTTGGCCCATTGGAAATTAACAATTTTACATGCTTTAGTAAGTCATACCGTCCTCCCACCCAATGGAGATTGTGATGGATCACTTTCGTGTCTTTCGCTGACGGGCAAAGATTGCTTTGGCAACCCATTAGGAGCATTAAAGAAATCACGCATATCTACCTGTAATCAAAGCTGCAGTCAGAATTCATATGGGTACAAACAAAATAAGGAAAATTGAACACCAGAAGCCAGAAACATGAAATAATATTTGAGGACAGTTGGAATAACAAGCAATAGATAATAAAGTATTGGAGGAGGCATATCTATAACAGTTCCTCATCACAGTACAGTCCCCATTACAAAATCGCAATGCCACTTACAAGAATAATGATGTACCAGGGAACTGATAAGTGAGACATTTGCAATTTCATGCTTATTCTTGGGATGCATAAAGCACAAATACCCAACTCCTAAATGGACAACAATACTCTACTTCAGAGTGGATATTGTGTTCACAGCCCAAAAAGGGGTACATGGTGCTGTGCCAATTAAAAAAGATACTGAGTCCTTAGGAAATTCAGTGCAATATATGAATATGTCGAATGTCCTTTAATCTATGATAATGTAACTAAACATACCATTTCACCAACATTATAGACATATCCAAAAGGCCAAGACAGGCATGCACACACACACACACACACACACATGATTAATTTGATCAATCTTCTATAGTTTGGTTCATCGCGCAGATCACTGTTTTGAACTGTTGATACTTGACAGATTCTGACTTCAAAATGTTAACATTTGAGAACAGCCTTTTATTGCACACCATCTTTCCAAAGCCTTTTACTTCCTTACCACATAAATTCAGAAGTTAGAACATAGCAAGTGTCGATAATTTGTAGAATGTAAAGTCTTTGATACATTCAAGATTAATTGACTCATCAGTCATCCATTATAGGTGTGATACCAGATCAACACTTGGCAATAAAATAGCATCGTAATACTCTGGGCACAGAGTAAACTATCTGCATCAAACATCAACCATATATTCTAAAGGACAGTACTCGTTATTAAAACCATTGACTAACCAAGGAACATCTGAATCTCTTACTTCTTCCATTCTTTCATGTTTCTTACGCTACATACTTTGCAATCATCCAAGTCCTTTTTTAGATGCATCATATTTACATCTTTTGGGGCTAATATTATTTCATAAATTGATCCATTAGGCAAAGAGCCTCAAAAAATGTCAAAATGAACACACCACTTAAAACAGGAAAAGAGAGAAAGAAAAGACAAGTAGAAAATCGGAGCGAGCTGAGAGCAGCACGGAAGTACTATAACAATAAAACAGATATTTCCATAGTTGCATTTTTACTCTCAGACAGAAGTTAGGAGCTGTATAGGTCCATTATGCTGCGGCAAGAATTCTTAAATAATTTCACATCATTAGCAATTAGCAAAGCACAAAAAAGAAATAAGTGAATCCAGTTTTATATTTCTAAGCTAAAAAGCAAAGCTTAAGCAAATTTAATTCTTCCATGCTACAAAAAAAATGTATACATCATATATGGACAAAAAGTTAATTTCCCAGATAATAGTAATTTGCTCTGCAGCCAGATCTGATTAGCATAGGGCGATACTGGACAAAATTGAGCAAGTACGACAATAGGGGATAAAATGATAAGTATATACCTGCATTGATCGCAATAATGCTCTTAAATCAGCATTTTCTGCCATCAATTCTTGATTTTTTGCCTCATAAGCATCCACCTGAAAGATCACACATCAGTAAACATAATTTCATGGAGGCCATAAATTGTTAATAACTCAATCACTCTTCATACAATCTTTTTATAGAAATCATTGTCTGCCTTCTTCCCGTTCCAAGTCCCACGTTGCCGTCCTTCTTTCTGTGTGCACATATCATAATATCTGTTAGCGGCATTAAATTTAGATTCACTCAGTAGTACAATTGGCACTAGTGCAATTAACACCTGAAGTAAATTCATTATCTCCATTCCTGATCTTGATTCCTTCTTCTTCTCCATTAAGACTTGGTTCAGTCTCTCCTGCAAAAGCAACACAAATTATATTTCCTACTTAAATATACTGCTTTCTCCTCAAATGATCAATAAATAAAAAACTAAACAAGATCCCACCTGCAACTTTATGTACTCCTTTTCCTTCTTCTTCATTTCATGTATTTGTTGAGTTCTCACTTGCTTTTGTAGTATCAAGTAAAAATAATAATTGTCAAGAAATTTATATCATTCCATATTGAAACACAAAACAGAAATCGAACTCTGAACAAGCAAAATATGCCTAACCTGATTACCAATCACCATTCTCTGAAACTCATCCCGCTCTTGCTGTAGCTTCTCAAATTTGTTGCCTTAAAGCAGCTGTAAATTTGGTTCCTAATCATAATAACAACTTTAATTTTCATAATATCGAATAGAATTAAAATAACACAACCCAACACTAAAAACTAAAAAAAAGAAGATAGAAATCAAAACCTTTCTGTAATTGTTTGCTATCTCTCTAATCTTTAGTTGCAAGTGCTCAAGCCTCTCAACTTAGCCTCTAATCTTGCTTATATCCATATAACTACATAGAATAAGGCAAATTAAAGAAGGAAGATTAGACATGATAATGCTTCAAATCATTATGATGAATAGACATATCCAAAACCAGTACACAACTTAATCTTTCCATACTCATATAAAATTAATTAAAAAACTGAAAGAAAATTATTGCGATCAGACTAAATCAAGCCACAGTTGTCAAAAATGCACTAAACTAAGTTTAAAGTTAATTAAATAGACAAATAAAGATATACTACAATTTATAAGCTTTCATTCCCCAAAAATAACAGAAGCATCCATAAAGGCAAGCAACTTCAAGGCGGAAATAAATTACTAAAATTGAAACATCAATTGGAATTAAAAAGAAAAAGATTACCGTTGTCTTTGCTCATTAGCAGACTCTCTAAAGTCAATGTCGCGCTGCCTCTGCTGCAGCAATGAATAAATGCAATTGCAAGTCCTCGCAATCGAAACCTATCAATCACATAAAACAAAAAATCCTTTACTCTCGATCACAAAAAAATTTTAAAAATCATTTCTTAAAAAGGAAAAGAAAAAAGGAACGTACCGGATCATTGGAAAACAGATCGAGAGAAGCAGGAAAGCCGAAGGTAACGAGCGTCTGGTTCAAGTACTTTGAACAGTGGTCCAAGTTTCCAGTATCGGCAAATGTATACTCTCTGAAACACAGAAAAACTACATTTAAAAAGAAAGTTGTAAAAAAAGAAAGAAGTTTTGATAGAAATATGAACTGACCCGATAGATAAGGTGGAGTGAGGAGGCGGCTGTGACAACCAACAAAAAAAAAAAAAGTTAGTTACAGGAAAGAGAGAGAAACGAAGTGTTCGATTTTATTTTAGGGTTTGAGAAAAAATTGATTACTCTGAGATCCAAGTCTGCATCAGTCGCTGGCATTGCGCGCGAGAGAGAGAAAGCACAGTGGATATCTGTGAGTCTCCTTTGTCTGAGTAGCGAGTGAGGGAGGAGATAGAATAGATCTAAAAAGCCCTTAAAGCGGTGGACAAATTTGAAAATTGAAATTAGTTAAAACTGGAGACTTTCTTTGGACTTTTTTCGGGGTTTCAACAAGCTTCGTGACCTCCGTATTTCAATTGAAACTTGGCCAACCACTAATCTGGCGTGGTAGTATAGAATAAGTTCTTGTGTTTTGATACGTGGCACTTGATGATTGGTAAAAGAGTGTTAAAATTGGCGCCGGATGTCACGAAAAGCGTGCGGGAGTGGGCACGCAACGTTACGCTTTTTCCTTCGATAAAAGTTCCAAATCTACAGTAGTATCGAAAAAAGGCTGGTCAAAGATTCATGTCACTGCATTCTCATTTTTAGACCCGCTAGTGGTTTGGTTGGATAGAGTTTGGTTTAATATTTTAGGATTTTAAGTAAATTCAAATTTTATTGGCTTTAATTTTTTAAATTTAATTTTTTATTTAAATTTGCTTTTATATGTAATAATAAAGTTTAATTTTTCTTAAAGTATTGGTATTTAAAATGAAAAAAAGTTTTTTTATTTTTTATAAATTATTAATTTAATTAATTTTAATTAAATTTATAAATTATTTGAATTTGAATTTAATTTAATTTTGTTATATGTAATTTAAAATTGAATCATTGTTTCGTATAAAAGAAATGAGCTTTATCATATTATAAGTAATAAAGTAAATAAATCATATTCATTACAAATAAAAGCAAATGAATTTTGTTTTATTATGATAAAAATATTTTTTAATTTTTTAGTCAAGTTAAGTCGAGCTTAAGCCTTAAATAGTAAAACGCAAGCCTAATCTTATTTTTTGATCGAGTTTCTTTTATTTATTCAAACTCATTTAATAGGTTTAATGTTCATATTCAAACTCTTCAAAATTTTGAAAGAGCTTTCAAGTTCAGACGACCACTTAGCCCATAAGTAGGTTTACTCATTTCCCTAATTTGTTGATATAAAAGATGATTTTTTGGATAATATTTAATATATTATAAGTTTTTTAATTTCATAAATAGAATTAAAAATTAATATAATATTTCATTTTTTAATTAATTTTTTATTTTTTAACTTAATCATATCATATATAACATTAAGAAATTATCAAATATACTTTAATTTCACGAGTAGGATTAATATAGTGACACATGTGCTTTATATATTTAAAAAAAATTAATTTAAAAAAGAAATACAATATTTTATCATCATTTTAATCCTACTTGTAGAGTTAAAAACTCTACTATCAATATATCAAATAATCTTTTTATAATATTAAATTATAGGATACATATTTAACAAATAAAATTTATTGAAGTGGACGCTTATGTGAATAATTTTGTAGAAAAATTTTAAAATTTTTTGTATAATAATACATAAGATATTTATTAATTTTAGATTATATATCAAAAATATATATTTAAAAAATTATTTAATTATCCAAAACTTTCAAAATTTAAATAGAAGACCAATTCATATATAAAATAAATTTTTTTTAATGTAATTGTTGTTCCAATTTTGACTATACTTTTTTACAATAAGTTTTTATTTTAAATTTTTAAGTTCTGCTTTCACATTATCAACATTTTTTGGCCAATTTAAATTTAAAATAATTAAATAAATAAAATTATATATTTAAATAAAATAAATTATAATATAAATTTAAAATTTTAAAAATTAATCTTATTCAATTCAATTGTTATTAGTTACGTAGATATATCTATTTTTTTAATTTAAAAATTTTAAATTTCATATTTTTACTTGCATTGATTTTTTTTATATTCATTTATTCTTTTAAAACTTTTTAAAATTTAAAAAGATAAATATTACTTATTATATTTTTTAAATTCAAAAAATATTTATCAAAATGAAAATTATCTATACTCTTTAATTGTCATGCAATAAACTATAAATAATATGTGCTACGTCATTATTAATTTTTTAATTTACAACTTTTATTTGAAAGATGTTCTATTACTTTTATAATTTTATTCTTATAAAAATTAATATTTATTTCAATTCATTTTTCTTTTAACACTTGCTTATTAATTTTTCTTTCATAGTTTACAAGTTTTGATCAATTATCATAGAGTGATGGTATGTTCATAGATATTTATTAAAATTCTTTTGTTTTCCAAAAAAGTTTATATTAAAATACAACTTATTAGGATTTTTTTTCTTAAAATTATATTTTTTTTATTCCTGGTAATTTTTTCCTAATTTTAACTTATTATTAAGAATTTTTTTTACTTTTCACATTTTTCATATATATTAAAAATAATTAGTTTTGTTATGAATTAGTTCTTGAAATCATACAATATGATTCTAATAAAATAATTACTATCATTTCTAGAAGAAAAATACTCATTTTATTGCTTGTTTTGAATAATTGTTTTGAGTCAACTCATGAGATACCAATATAGAAATATTATTTTTCTTCTTCTATTTTAAGATAGATGACTCAAGAGATATTTAATTTGATTGTATTATATATCATCACCTTTGGTTTAAATTTATAGTTATATACTTTCAATATTTTAAAAAATATTATAAAATAATTCGTAAATCAAACGCTTTGGTTTTCCATTATATATATATATATATATATATTTTTAATTTTTATACTTCACATATTTACTTAATCACTTTAGATAATTCATAATTCATATACTTTAAAATTTTTTTCATTTTATATCATAAATCAAATAGATTATACATATATATATATATATGCATTTTCAAAATAAAAACTTTAGGATCAAAATATGATAAATTATTTTTTACAAACAAAAAAATTAAAAAATATATTTTTATTAAGGTAATATAAAATTAAAATAAATTATAAAATATAATAAAAATCTGTGCATCTCGCAGCTTAAAAAGTTAGTTTTTTATTATTTTAATGTACGTTTAAGGATAATCCAAAATTTACGTTTAAGGATAATCCAAGTCTCCATTGAGCTACTCTCTCAAACACCATACCCAATAAAAAAAAAAAAGACAAATGATCGATCCTATCTATCAGGTTTATTGCGAGTCATTTTCATTCCTCTCACCTCTCCAAAGTTTTTCTTCGTTTTGGATGTCAATTGCTATTGACTACTGCTTAAGAATACCCGAATTTCAAGAAGAATTGGTAGGTATTCTAATAATTTAGTTTATAAAGTTTACAAAATTTATTAATTGTGGATGAAATAATTTTTTACTTAAACATAGTTTTTTTATTGGATTTACTAGCATAATTCAAAAGCCTAAAATTTTTTAATGATTTTTAGTTATATATATATTACTATAAAGCTTTTTAATTAATATTAATATAGAGTAATAAAAGAAATCATTTGCGATTGAATAATTAAATGGTGCGAGACTAAATAACTTTATATATTTATGCTTTAATGAAAGTAAGTTCACATAAAAAAAATTTCAATCTCTGAATTTTTTTAATATACTTCTTTCAACAAATGCATGAGAAGTGGGATTTCCTCGAAATTTTATAATGTTTTTAACTTTATTTATATCCATTCGTAACCCAAAAAAAAAATTTCTAATGGCTTATTATTTTATATTTTAGTGGTGAAATTTTAAAATTTTAAAAACAAAATTAAAAGATTTTTTTTATGTTTTTTGTTATTATTTTTTAAATATATTTTAATATGGTGCCAACCCTTTAATCTTTTTGATAAAGTTTAAAAACTCCTCCAACAATATATTAAGCATATTTGCAACAACATTTTTTTTTTGTCTTTTCCACTATCAACTAGCTAGAGCATCCAGTAGCTTTTGATCTTTATATATATCTTGAATCTCAAAACTCAAAGGCAATAAGTA